ATATAGTTGTGTTAAGTACTTGTTGGGAGAACGTTAATGTCAATGTGTTAAATTCCTGCATGCAAGCCAGAAGTTGAGCCATGGTCTTTTAATCGAACTTGGATCGAAGTCGTGCCTTGTAATGATAAATTATAATGACTTCATGCTTCTCTTGAATCTCAAGAATGGTCATCATGACTTCATGCATCTTTCCTTCAATGGATCAGCATCAATTCCTGCTATCATCACAATCACGGAAAGGGGTAAAAGTTAGAAAGGGTCATAAATCAAGGAGAGAATTGGACATCTATCACCATCTGAATATCAGCTTTTGGACTCTTGCCTAACTTTTTCAGTTCACTAACCCATTCTGCCTATGTTTTAGAGTGAAGATTTTCAGAGTTAATATTTACTCATATTTTATAGAGGCTCTATCATTCATTGAATGCAAGTCTTCAAATAGCCACCCTTTCACCACAATATCAGGAATATTAGAGATCTTATTATGAGGGATTGAAAGATCATTTTTGATTAAGTTTACAGAGAAGCTAATAGATGTGCAGACTTTCTAACCCATAAGACTTTGAGAGAGAATTTTGATGTTAGGATATTCGACAATGTGCCCATCAACTGTAAAAGTCTTATAGCTCTAGACATGACTTGATCTTGGTCTTTTTAATTTTTTTTTACCATGGTCTTGTATTCAAAAAATAGAAGTTCCATCCACTGAAGTTTAAAAGACCTATATTTATAGATAATGACCACCATCAATGCTTGTTCTTTTCTTTTTTCTTGTTTTTTTTTCCATCACTTTCTCAACCACCTTTTTATATACAATTATCTATTATTCATGAATTGGGTAGGACCTGGTAGCAAAGCTTTCCCAATGAGCATATGACACAGATATATACTTAGGACTCAAACTCAAGACTACTAGTTAATCTAACACAACCTTTTATTAGTTAAGCTATGTGCTCGTTGATTTCTCAACATTTCCTTTCAACAATTTCTCAAAAGAAGAAGTTAATAATGGATAAGTCATTGAGGAAAGAAAAGCAAGAAAAAAATATCATTTAAAAACTCTTGAAGAGTTTTTATATCAAAGAAGGTCCCTACAAATCTAAAATTTCACTATACTCCCTTGATACTTATTTGAAAATAAGATTTTATGAGAAAATATCTAATTACTCTTAAAGTTTAATAATTTAATAGATTATTATTAATTGCATATGGTTACTTATTAAAACTTAAATGGATGCTTGTTCATGTAAGGCCAACACATATATGTACAATTAAACATTTGCTATCAATTATAATTACTTTTTAATTTTGAATGAGTTGCTATTAATCACATATGTTACTTAAAAAAACTCAAACGGATGCTTGTTTATGCATCCATAAAATCTTAAAGCTAATTAGGTATTTTCTTGCAACAACTTATTTTCATATAAGTATCTTGAGAGTGCAATGAAATTTCAGATTTGCAAGTTTCTTCTTTAATATAAAAGAGTCCTTACATTCAATAAATGACATGGTTTTGAGTTTTGTTACTTACTTGCAAGTAGAAACTGTGTTATCGACAGTGTTCTTAAAACCGAATTGGACCGATTAGTTCAACCGGTCGAATTGAAAACTAGTCCCAACTCTACTCCGATCACTATAGAAAATCAGGAAATTTGACAACAGGCTAAAATTGGTAAAATTGATGAGAAATAGATTGAATATGACATATTATTTTCAATTCATATTTCTAAATTATAATTTATATATTTTTATATCTAATCAGCATTATGAAATAGACCAATGCGAGAAATATGTATGAATTATGTATATATTTATTTTTATTTCCAAGTTATGAATTATAAATTATAAAATAATTATATATATTTTGGATCAAAATGATATAATATTGATGGATATTATTTTTTTATTATATATTATTTTGTTGGAAATTTAAACATTCATTTTTATTACTATATATACTTATTTCTTCTTTACTTTAAAGATATAATATTTAAAATATATTAATTTATTCATCATTAATTAAACCACGATTTAAATCACAGTGAGACTATTATATTGTGAATCAATATTTTGACCAATTTAATGGCCAATTTTAATAATATTAGTTATTGATTAAAAAAAGTCGAAACTTGAAACCGTGTTCCTTGTCCTATTGGCATTGTTCTGTTGTTGTCATCCGATAGTTCGTGAAACTTTCATTCAAGTTATGGAGTAACTTGCCTGCCCTTGCCTTGACTTCTATTACTTTTAACATGAGGCGTGCGTGAAGCAATTAAAAAAAAAATCTAAATGATGGCCCAGTTAATTTTTAATTCTAAAAATTTATGCATCAAAATTCTTATCATGTGATATTAAATTATTCAATTAATAGTACATACGGGGGCTACCAAGATGCAAAACCGTACCTTCATTTCTGACCTATGACATTGCTTTGTTCTTGTGGGTTATAATTCTTAATTCTACTTAAAAAACATAGTTCAATTTCTCTTGATAATCCATTTATAATTATTTAAATTAATATTTATAATTTATTTTTAAAATTTTTTATTAAAAATCTAGCTGCATTAAATCTCTTTTTTGAAAGTTAATTGTCATGTCAAAATTTCTTCCTTGAAGTCCAAAAGACTTTTGTAATTTTTTTTTGGGTGTGAAGACTTTTGTAATTATATATAATGATCACCATAAATGCTTCATATGCTTTCTTCTTTTTCACCATTTCCTTTCAGCAATTTTTTTTCTGAAAAAAAAAGAAATTAATAATGGAGAAGTCTCCAAGAAAATAAGCAAACTTGACTTGTCATAGAGTAACTAGATCAAATGAATGCCATGGTTTTGTTGCATACTTGAAATCGTGTTACCTTTTTTTTTGGAGAGAAAGTTAAAGTCGTGTTACTTGTCCTATAAGCATTGCTCTATTGTTGTCCTATCATTAGATAGTTCATGAAACTTTCACTCAAATTACAGAGTAACTCACTTAGACTTAGTGGGTCTGCCTGCATTGGGGAGAGAGAGTTGAAGCTGTGTTACTTATCCTATAAGCATTGCTCTATTGTTGTCTTGTCATTGGATAGTTCATGAAACTTTCATTCAAGTTATAGAGTAATTCACTTAGACTTACTGGGTCTACTTGCACTGGGGAGAGAGAGTTGAAATCATGGTACTTGTCCTATAAGCATTGCTCTATTGTTGTCTTTTCATTGGATAGTTCATGAAACTTTCATTCAAGTTACAGAGTAACTCACTTAGACTTAGTGGGTCTGCCTGCATTGGGCAGAGAGAGTTGAAGCCGTGTTACTTGTCCTATACGCATTGCTCAATTGTTGTCTTGTCATTGGATAGTTCATGAAACTTTCATTCAAGTTACAAAGTAACTCACTTAGACTTAGTGGGTTTACCTACATTAGGGAGAGAGAGTTGAAGTCATGTTTCTTGTCCTATAAACATTGCTCTATTGTTGTCTTGTCATTGGATAGTTCATGAAACTTTCATTCAAGTTACAGAGTAACTCACTTATATTTAGTAGGTTCGTCTGCATTAGGGAGAGAAAGTTGAAGTCGTGTTACTTGTCTTATAACCATTGCTCTATTGCTGTCTTGTCATTGGATAGTTCATGAAACTTTCATTCAAGTTACAGATTAACTCACTTTTATTTAATGGGTTCGCCTGCATTGGAGAGAGAAAGTTGAAGCTGTGTTACTTGTCTTATAACCATTGCTCTATTACTGTCTTGTCATTGGATAGTTCATGAAACTTTCATTCAAGTTACAGAGTAACTCACTTTTATTTAGTGGGTTCGCCTGCATTGGGGAGAGAAAGTTGAAGCTGTTACTTGTCCTCTAACCATTGCTCTATTACTGTCTTATCATTGGATAGTTTATGAAACTTTCATTCAAGTTACAGAGTAACTCACTTTTATTTAGTGGGTTCGCCTGCATTTTGCCTTCAAAATCAATTTTAACAAAAATTACCTTACACTTATGTTACATATTAAAATTAATTATGAATTTAAATTTATGTTTTCTTAAAAATATTCAAACACCTATTATATATGCCAAAATTAATTATGAATCCAAAACCATAATTTTTTTAAATATCCAAACACTTCTTATTATGTCAAAATCAATTATGAACCAAAAAATATTATTTGCAAAATAATTTATATAATTTTTGGATAAATTTTTAGAAATGTATAATTACAAAAATGGATTGAAAAGTAGGTAGTAGTAGCTTATGAGATAACTATAGTTTTGGGGTTTATAGTTAATTTTGGCATGTATAGAGGTGTTTGGATATTTTTAAGAAAACTATGATTTAGAGTTCATAATTAATTTTGGCATATATAATGGGTGTTTGGATATATTTTTTTAAAATTAGATTCATAATTGATTTAACATATAATATGAGTGTTTAGATATACTTTTACAAAACCATAGTTTTACCTTTTTTTCAATTCCACTTTTCAATTTTGCTTTTCAATTCTAATCAAAATCATGCTTATTAATTAATTTTATAAATCAATTGTATACCACATAACATAATTAATTATATTTCAAATCAATCATATTAATTAATTTTTTTCATAATTAATTATATCCAATTGAAATTCAAACACACCCTATGTCTTTCCCTTGAATTCTATTATTTTGATAGGAGGATATACATGGCTAATAAAAAATAATGTATGAAAGATGGCGCCAATTTAAACCATTAAATTTTAACCTCCAGTTATTTTTAATTATGTAAAATTAAGTTTAAAAAACCATTTAAAAATTATTAATTTTAAAAAATTCTATGCACCAAAATTCGTATTTGTGATATTAAACTATACGATTAATAGTACATACAGGGGCTACCAATATTGAAGTAATAGTTTATACATGTCTAGATGCAAAACCATACCTTCACTTCTGTGACCTAAGACATTGCTTTGTTTTTGTAGGTCATAATTCCACTTACACAATATAATTCTGTTTCTCTTGATAATCCATTTTAATGACTTATATATTCAATGACATAAATAAGGTCTTGAGTAGACAAATAAATGTCATTCAACCCATACAGCAGTATTAATTAGACAAATAAATGTCTTTTAACCAAATGAGTAGAAGTGAGGCATACCGTAGGATGAACTCATTTCCCTGCAATGAGATACGAGAAATAGACTTGAATTGATGATATGCTCTTCCTCCATTTATCTCCACAAGTCTACAAGCAAAAGACAGAGGAAGTAGTTAGGCTTCAAACATTTTAGATTTAAACAATGTTATAAGTTTAATTGCACCGCATTATAAAAACCATGTGAGCATAGCTTATATGGATTCAGGCCCTAAACCATTTTTATCCTAAAATTGATTATTTCTCCAATCTTGATCTTTACTAATAAGGCCTTTGACGGGCCTGGAAGCTCTTTCTTATTTTTTTTATTTTTTTAAATTAAGTTTGATATTATAATATTTTTCAAAATACCCTTCATTTAATATATTAAAAAGAGAAGTAATGAAAATTAATTATAAAGAGAGAAAGGGTTATATTAAAATTGTTATATTTAATAAAAACTTAATATATTCAAAGTATCTTATATTTTGAAATGGAAAAAATTCCTTCAAAAGTGCCTTATAATTTATGACGGAGGGAGTATTACATATTCATTATCTAAAATATAAATTATAATGTTCTAAAAAAAGTTATATAAACCCCAATTTTAAATTACAAACACATATTTTAAAGTCTATTTTTAATAACAAAAAATTAAATGTCAACCCAAAACTTCTAAAGCTAAACGAATGCCTTTAACAAAGGTAATTGTCCTTTTTCATAGCTCTTCATACCCCACCTTGGGATGACTTTGTTTAAAGGCATTTAAGTAGATCCATCAATTAAGGGTGAGCCCGTCGGGTCAACTCTTTTAAGCTCAAAAAAATTTAAGGCCAGGCCAATTTTTTGAGATGTAAAATGGTAAATTGAACTTAAAAGGGATGGCCTTTATAAGCCAAAAAATAAAAGGTCGATCCTTTATGGCCAGGGCCGGTCCTTTAGGCCCTCTTATATTTTTTTTAAAATTTAATATGAAAAATAAACACTACACACTAAAAGTAAAAAGATTAGAAAATGGAAAACCTTAGCTTGCCTTATAGTCGTTTGATTTCTGTCATTCACATTTTTTGCATGGTTTTGAGTTGAAGGGTAACTTATTATTATTGATTTACTTTGAATATTTCTGCATATTTTAAATATATTAAAATTATATTTTTAGTTTATTATTTGTTGCAGATAATGATGATAATGAAGGAGATATGAAAAGCTTAATATCTTTACAACTGATGAGGCTTTACAAGAAGAATGATAAAATTTTATTAATATTGATGACAATAGAAATTATCAAAATTTAGCTAATGATATTAGTAAAATTTAATTGTTATCAAAATTGATTTTGTAATGTTGCTACTTTTTACTAGACTTAAATTTGTTCGTTTGTGCATTGTCTTAAATTTATTTTTCTAAACTTAATGTTATGTGTAAAAAACATATTTAAATCCGTTTTTAAATTCTTAAATTAAAAAATGAAAAAATATATATAGGGTCACATCTCTAAGGGCTAGGGCCAAGCTGGCCAAAATGGGACCCTAAAGTCTAATCGGGCTTAACAAAGTCAGCTTGTTTAGGCCCTGGCCCTTCAATTACTAGCCCTTTAGGGTTGGATCGGCCCTAATTAATACCTCTACATTTAAGTAGAAAAGTTAGAGTGATTCTTCAAAGTTCAATTCCTTCACTTCAAATATAGATATATGCGTATTCTTCATTGAGCCCTCTACTTATGAAAGCATGCTTATTTCTACTTGTTATAATGACTTTGCTACCCCATCCCAAGCAAGTTTTTTCCACAATAGCTAGATCTTTAAGTTGCATTGGGTTGTCCACATCATCAAGCACAATTAAGACTTTTTCCCAATGCAGCCTTCTAATTGCAGCATTCATATGGAGATTTTCTTAGTTCAATAGCTTAGAAAGAAGTTTTTGACGCAAATACTTGAAACCATCAATCATTTTTAATTTTTCTCTCACTTTTTCTAAGAAGCAAGAACTTTGAAATTGAGAAGAAAAATGGTCAAATATCTCTTAAGCAAGGGTTGTTTTACCTATTCCTCCAATGCCCCAAATTCCAAGAAATCAAATTACATGCGGCTCAATTTTCATTCAAGATCCAACACTTGTAAGATTCTGATAAATTCTAATAAGGTGTTCAGAGTCTTCAGACTTCCTTGGATACTTATCTGCCCATTTTTTCAAGACATTGTTGACTATTCATCAATGAGTGCAGATTCATTTATAGCATATAAAAAGAAAACATAGAAACAAAAGGTATAATTAATTAACCTACACTGGATATATATATATATATATATTTGGGAAAAACTAAGAAAACTTTATAAGACACGTTATAAAATGATATATTCATTAAGAAAACTTTTTGAAAATATAATGAATAGTGATACCTAGATAAGTTAGCAGTTTTAGTCAAAGTAGATCTCCAAATTTGCAGCTTGTCTATGTTATGCTTGAACTTCTCCTCATGTTTGGCAAACGCATCTACATAAGAGCCTCTTTGATGTCTGACATCTGATGGATCGATATTATAGAAAACTATTATTATAATGAGTTGATTGGTCTCCTTGCATTTGATGATCTTGACAAGCTCTTCCAAGCACCACATTAAAGAAGCATAGTCTTTTGAGAATATGACCAATGAAATCATTAATCCTTCTATTGCTTCCATAAGTGCTAATGATATTTCTTCTCTTCTCTCCAGCCTTTTATCCATATACACTTCAATATGATTTTGGTGCAATTCCTTTTTCAGATGGCTAAGAAACCCATGTCTCGTGTGCGAACCTGTAAAGATGATAAACACATCATATTTTTCTTGACAAACTTGGGAAGAAGAAGCACATACAACCATTGATTTTTCTTGATAAATAATAAATATAACTATTATGAGGGACTAGTGATGATGTATATGTAGAAAACAGCAATCCAATTTATAAGGGAAGAAGGTTTCTGGGTATATAACTTGGTTAGAATTTAGAAAAGCAAGTTGGCTAATTTCAAATGGTAATTTGGCTTCTGGGGTAACTTCTACGTTTCCTTCATTGTTATCACTTTTATTATTTATTTTCATACTTGAGATGAAAACTATATAATACACAACTCGATTTCTCTTTATTTCGCTCGCTTTGTTGTGGATGTCACTTATGAACAAGGATTGGTGAAGTCAAACCTATGTGGATTATTTCAAGAGAATAAGCCAGCGAAGCATGTTCAATTTGGGCCTCCTACTTTAAATTTTACCAAAGACAAAAGGTGTTTTAGTGGCGGTACAAGTACTACATATTGATGAGTGAATATTTTCAACTCTATGCAATTTTGTTTAAAAAAATTAATAACTGTTGGGTTATCCACCCTTAGTAGATCAAGCCCATATAAAAGTCCAAATTGGGGAATAGGGCTCTTGTGACAATTATGAAAAATGTTTGGGTTTAAAATGTAATTTACTCAGGGCCTTAAAATGTAATATTCTCTAACCTTTAAATTTGAATCATGATTAATTAGAGAAACTATCACATGTTCCCATAAGAGGTGGTTATGGGTGCAATTTCAGTCGGTTCATTATTCTTTGCATGAAGAAAGAAACCGAATGCTCTCATTTTTCAGTCTACTCATTTTCTCCTTACAACTCATTCTCTCAGAGAGTGCGTTTGTTGTGTATCCGAATGAAGTCCAACCGGTGTAACTTTATCCCCGTACACGTACGTGTGAATTAACGACACAAGGTATGTTTTTCCTCCTCAATTTCTTTTAATGGTATTAGAGCTTTCATCTTTCCTGGGTTGTGTTTCCTATGTCTGAAGAACCTATAATGATTTGCTTAACTATATACACACAAATCTCTAAGTTTAGTTTTTTATTTTCTTACTGTGTTTACGCTTCGATCTTTCTCTGTCTGTCTTTAAGATTATTACTACCAAAATGAATGTGTTAATATGCTTCTTGGTTAATATGAATGTTCCATATATGGCTATATACGTTTTGCATGCAATCAACATTGACGAACATAACGACTGAAAACAAACCAAATAATGGGTCTTTGAAAAATGATTTTTTTTTGAACGTGTAGAGCTCAAAAAAAAAGAAAATGACACTAATAACACATAAAATGGAGACCGGATGGAGGAGATATGGCCTCTAGAAGTTTTGAGTCTGTCTAGAGGAATCGGGTGGGGTAAGATGACGACAAAAATGATGCTTTATTTTTGTCCTCGTCAAAACAACACGTCGTTTTGACGTGTCATAAAAAAAAGGAAAATGGTTTTTGGGCTACGAGCTTAGAAGCCCCAACCCAAAAAGGAAAAAAAAATGTAAAGGTTTTAGGCTTGGAAGCCCAACCCAAAAAAAAAATGCAAACAAAAAAAAAGGGTTTATGGGTCCACGAGTTAGGTGCTAAAACTCGACCTAGTTTAAAAAAATAAATACAAATATATATTTAATTTTTTAAAAAAATTAATTAAAAAAAAAATATATAAAGAGGACATGTGGCGCGTGGGACCTATTGAATAACTCTATCGGTGTGTGGTTGACCCTGCCATGAAGCTGGCGATGTGTGGAGAACAATGGTATAGTGCGTGTCAACATAGGAGGAAGATATAGCGGTGCGTGTGGTGCACGCACCTCCTCCGAGAGTGGCAATTTTTTTTAAGAATTTCTTGATCGAGCATCTTCTTAGGGCACGTGTGGGACCAAATTGGGACAAAATTTGTCTTAAAAAATCCTTAAATTTGAGATTTTCATTTTGATATATAATTTGCATATTTTTTAAGATAAAAAAGAATTTATTTTTCGAGTTATCTAATGCTTTTTTATGAGTTTAAAAAATTTCTAATTTTTTTCCTTTCTTATTTTATTTAGGAAAATATAAAGTAAGAGGCTTCTAGCAGCACTGATAACTCAGAAAATTATTTTGTCAGCATTGAGTATCTATATGAACCAGAATATAAGCCTCTTATTGAGGATTTCGACCTGAAACCTTTCGAAGAGCAGGAGGAGGAATATGAACCTTAAAGTGGGGATTCTGATTCTGATCCATAAGAAGATCCCAATATTGATCTTGAAAATGTGCCGGAAGGACCTAATGAGGTGCACATACTGTTGGGACCAAAACATGAATCAGAGAGTGATGAGAATGTTCAAAATGAAAATGAAGATGTCGAACAACCTTTCACACCCTCAGTGATCATAATTACAGCAAAAAGAGAAGCTAAAAGAATAAAAAAATTGGATCAAGTTTCTCCGATAGTCAGAGCATATTCAAGCTTCATAACGAAAGAAGAACAAGCCGCAGTTATATGAGAAATTTTCAAACAACTTAGGAAGGAGTTTGTGCAACATAACAAGCAAAACAAATTGTACTCTGGAAATCTCTATGGAATAGAGCCATCAAGGGGATGAAAGTACAAGAAAAATATAAAGACATAATTAAGAGTTGTCTTTTTTAGGTCTATGCCTTAAGCATTGTTCTGTTTTTCCAAGAATTTGCTTTTTTGATGTATTAAGACCTTGATAATTTATGAAATATATGAAGCATGTTGTTTTATGTTTAATTACTTTATATATACTTTATTTGAGTGGGAGCTTTAAAGTGATAAATCATTTATGAGCCATATGTAATGATTAAAATATTTGTAAAATTCTTTATAGACGATAGTGATTTCATTAGAATTAATGTGATGAGAGATACAAACGTAGCCTCCTAATCGTTGACCTAATAGAGTTGTTATCACTCCAATAAAGAATAATATAAATATAAGAGATTGTATGTTTCTCATAAGTATTTTATTCTTATTTTAACATAGAAAACTATTGATGTGGGACAGTTTTGTCTCAGAATTAAGAATAGCAACAAAAAGCATTATCGCTGAATTAAATAAGGGTGACAAATTAAATGAGGATAACTGGGATATTTGGCACCATAAGGTGTCATATATTTTGGAAGAACAAGATGCTGTTGAGCTATTGACTAAAGTTATGGCCGAGCCTGAGGCAGGAAACTCGGCTCAGCATAGGAGAGACCAAGAGGCATTTGAGGCATGGAAATAAAAAAATAGCATCGCATGAATAACACTTCTAAGTGCTATGGCAGACAATCTGATGTGCGAATTTGAGAAGCCCTTCACTGCCTAAGCCATGTGGGCTGCCTTAAAAGAAAAATTTGGTGGTACCTCAACCACCAAACTGAGAAGGCTTACAATTAAATTCGACACTTATAAACTAAAGTCGAATACTCCCATGCGGCAGCACCTTAGAGAGATGGCCAACATGATCCGTGAACTTAAAGAAGCCAGGCACAATCTTTCTGATAAACAGCAAGTACAGGCTGTAATTAGATCGCTCCTATACAGTTAGAAGCATATGAAAGTTAACTTAACCCACAATGAAAACATCATTAACTTTAATGATGTGGCTAAACACCTAAAGCTAGATGCTAAACGTCTGGAGGCTTACAAGTCATCTGGATAGACTTCCCTTATCGAGGAAGGTGGTCCTTCAAATTCTAAGCTTAAGAGAGGCAAAAGGCAATATAAAAAGGGTAATAAGAGTGGCCCTAGAGTAAAGAAGGACAAACAACCTTTCAAGAAAAATGGCAAGAAGAGTGGCAAAAAGAGAATTAACCTTAAAAAGGTCAAATGTTTTTCCTGTCAAAAGATAGGCTATTTTGTAAAGGACTGTCCTGAGTAAAGTAGACGTGATCAGGTACTTGTGAATTATGTGAATTCACATTTTTCTTATGTTTCTAGTAATATTTTTCTAACGGAAACTGTTTCCTCTTCTTAGATTGTAGATTCAGGCTCCACAGACCATGTAAGCAAGGATCGTGGATCCTTCATAGAGTATCGATAGTTGTTGAATCACAGACCACAATGTGAGGATCGAGGTAAAAGGCATAGGAACTTGCAAGTTGATCTTGCGAGGTAGAAAAATCTTAATTCTCCATAATGTTTTACATGCACCAGACATTCGACAGAACTTAATTTCAATTGCTTGCCTTTTAGAATTTAGGTTTGTAATTAATTTTCATGACAAGATTGTTGACATTATGTACAATTCAACTTTTATGATTGTGCTTTTCTTTCAAAAAGGTTCTTTATAATAGATATTGTTGACTAAGTTCATTTTCATGATTGCTTTACCACCTCTTCCAATAATGTTGATATGAATATCTGGCATGCTAGACTAGGACATATTAATCAAAATAGAATGATTAAGCTAGCTAAAGAAGGAATGCTAGGTCCAATTACAAACATGAAAATGTTCTTATATGAAAATTGTCTAATTGGTAAAGCAACGAGAAAACCTTTTGGTAAAGGTGTTAGGGTTGAAAATCCATTACAATTAATCCATTCTGATATATATGGTTCTATGAGTATAAGGGCAAAACAAGGAGCTTGGTATTTTATTACCTTTATCGATGATTTTTCACGTTTTGGTCATGTCTATTTGATATCACAAAAGTCTGAAGCTCTTGAGTGTTTTAGACGATACATTAATGAGGTTGAAAATCAAATGGATAATAAAATTAAAACATTATGAACTGACCGAGGACGTGAATACTTGTCTGATCAATTTAAAGAACTCTGTGAAGAAAAAGGAATAATTAGACAACTAACTATTCCTGGTACTCCGCAACAGAATGGAGTTGTTGAAAGAAGAAATAAGACTCTTCTAGACATGGTTAAGTCAATGATGGCACAAGCAAATCTTCCAATCTCGTACTGGGGGGACGCTTCACTGACTGCAGCCTTTATACTTAATCGTGTGCCCTCAAAATTAATTACTTCCACACCCTATGAGTTATGGACAAAACACAAACTGGATTTAAATATCTTAAGACCATGGGGGTCAACTGCATATGTCCATAATGATTCTCATAAATATGAAAAATTAGGTCCAAGAGAGAAGAAATGTATCTTTATAAGAAACTCTGAGCAATCAAAGGATTATATTTTCATTAGTGAAAATAATGATGGAACTGTAACTGAATTTGAATCTAGGAATGTCACATTTTTAGAAAATGAGTTTCCTAGCAGGGGAGAAATTGATTGAATTATATCTCTTTATGAGACACAAGAGCAGCATAATATAGAACATATAGAAAGGCTTGAATCATCACAAAATACTGATTTAAGTGGGAGCTATAAAAGGTCTTCCAGAAGATCTAAAAAGAATCAAAATCTACAAGAGACCCTACTTCAAAAAAGTAATAGAGAAAGTATGCCAAAAGGATGCTTTCAAATTGAGGGTGAAGCATTAGTGGTAACTCCTCTAGATGATGATGAGCCATGTTTTGTAAATGAAGCTTTATCAGGACCTGCTAAGGATAAGTGGAAGAAAGTAATGAATAAAGAAATGGATTCCATGAGGACTAACTAAGTATGAAAATTAGTTGATTTACCACATGGCCAAAAGGCTATTGGGAACAAGTAGGTTCTCAAAATCAAAAGAAAAGTGGATGGATCAATTGATAAATATAAGGCTCGCTTAGTAGCAAAAGGGTATACACAATAAGAGGGAAAAGATTATGAGGATACATTTTCTCTTATTGTATGCTTCAATTCTATCAGACTAATTCTAATAATAGTAAATAGTCTAGACTTAGAGTTGTACTAGATGGATGTAAAGACTGCTTTTCTAAACAGTGATCTGGATGAAGAAATTTATATGCAACAAAAATTAGGTTTTATTCAAAAAGGAAAAGAAGATAAAGTATGTAAATTAAATAGATCAATTTATGGACCAAAAAATCATCCAAATAGTGGTATTTAAGGTTTCACAGAGCAATAATCTCATATGACTTCCAAATGATTGAGGAAGACCACTGTGTTTACATCAAGAGATTCAATGGAAACTTTATAATATTATCTCTTTATGTGGATGATATTTTACTAGTCGAAAATAGTCGGGATTTGATAATCACTATTAAAGAATGGCTTTCGTGGAATTTTGAAATGAAAGACATGGGTGAAGCAAAATACACTCTTGGAGTTAAAATCTAAAGAAATCACTCTAAGAAGCTTCTTTATCTATCATAAGAGAATTATACAAGGAAATTCTTGAGCATTTTAATATGAAAGATTGTAAACCCATGGATACCCCAGTAGCTTCAGATGTGAAGCTTAGTCCTGATATAGGTCCTAAAATTGAGATAGCCAAAAGGAAAATGGAAAGAGTTCCATATGCCAGTGTAGTCGAAAGTTTGATGTATGCAATGATGTGTACAAGACCAGATATCTGTTATGCCGTAGGACTTGTGAGTCGCTACCAATCTAACCCTGGAGAAGGACATTGGAAGGCTGTAAAGAGAATCTTAAGATACTTAAAGGGTATTGTTAATTATGCACTGTGTTATCAAGGGAGTGATCTACGCCTGATAGGATACTTTGACGTGAATTTAGGCAGAGATGAAGATGAATGAAGATCAACTTCAGGCTATACTTTCTTACTAAACAATGGGGCCATTTGTTGGAGCAGCAAGAGGTAGACATGCATTGCCCTACACTCTATGGAAGTTAAATTTGTATCGTGTACTGCAGCAGTGCAAGAGGCTATATGGCTTAAGAGATTTATAGAACATCTTGGGTTTGGAAATAAAAGGACAAATCCAGTGTTAATTCATTGTGACAACACTGCAACCATAGCCTATATCAAAGATCCTAAATATCATAGCAAAACCAAACACATAAACATTAAGTACAATTTTGTAATGGATTATATAGTGTAAAAGGTTATCACTGTTCAATACATTTCTACGAAATGTATGATAGCAGATCCCTTAACAAAACCCATAGCCAAAGAGATATTTGAGAAACATGTAAGGGCTTTTGGCATGGCTAAATTGACTTGATGTAATATATTAGTTATATTAATGAGAATCTTCATTACTTCCACATGTGTACAATTGAGAACATACAAAGTCTAGTATGTCGTACAGGTTGATAAGGTTGACTCTCACACACGAGCAACTACCTTTGACATTGAAACCAAATATGAGGCATTAGTGTTCACCAGCAAGACAACAAAAAATGTTGATATGGTAGAAAAGAAACATAAATCATATGTTGCCTCGATCAAAGTACAAGTCGAGATGAGATCCGTAAGCATACTTGGATCGAGTTATAGATCCCCATATCCATGATACCTGTAGCCAAACAATAAATTCTTCTAAATTGATGTCATGTGAGATCAATAGAAAAGAAGAATTTGGGTTTAGGTACAATAAATATCTAACCTTAAGTTTGTATGGTGCTAATAATAAATGAAAACGACGTACGCTCTTACAAGTAAGAGTAACACCATAACATATGTTTCATACCACATGTGCTTAAGAATCGCAATGGGAAGCAAGTGAATAAATCCCTACTTCATTGCTGTGTGAGTCCCAAAAAGAAAAAAATCTTTTCATTTATGTCCTTTGACTTTGACATTATCATGGAGATATGTGACAGTGTCTGCTACTTTAACATACACCCTATAGTCATGATTGATGCGACCTAAAGGTTTCATGTTAGGAAAGCAACTGTTTCCTATTAAAGTGGTATATGGGTGAAAGGAAGATTATCTTAAATATACACATCTATGCTCATATTCAAGACATGTCCTTTATGAAATAATTTATGAATTTATATGTGTGGATACTATGCATATAAGAGAGACTATCTGAGTCTTGGATTGACTTAAGAAGGATTAGATTAGTCATAATGAGAAAAAGTGTATATTGGTAAATCTAAGACATTAAGGCACGAATTTAATCAAGAATAAATTCAACTTTAGAGTTATTTGTGCTGGTCCTTAATAGAATTTCCTAGTACAAACAACTGAAACGAAGACGTTAAGCCTATGTGGTCACGACAAAGCACCTAGTATGAAGAGAGGAAAGAAAAATATATAGGACTGACATTATCTTCTCCACCAAGTGTGAGTGGGGGATGTTGGGTTATCCAAACAAAGTTTGACCGATGTAACTTTGTTCTCGCATACATACGTGTGAATTAACGACACAAGGTATGTTTTTCCTCCTTAATTTCTTTCAATAACAAATGGAAAGGAAAATATTTTTGCATTATTTATATTAATCATATCAACATATTTAACCACGAGAAATTATCTGCATTTGTCAAAATGAAAAATCAAATGTGGATTAGATATTTTTTTAAAGTCAAATAATCCATTATTTTTGGATGCAAATGTCTCAAGCAAAGATTTGTTGACTTGATGATATTTTATTTCTCTAAACACATCTAAAGTGGTGCATGCAAGTTTGACTTATTCTTGCATTTTCACTTGTTACTAATTTCTCAACCATTTCTCTATAGGTTAGATATATAATTTTTTTTAATTGCACATAAGTATTATTCTATTGAAGCCAATTTTATTCAAGACACAATTAGATATTAAATTTGTCTACTTCTATCAATGATAGTTCAAACATTCATTCATTCATCATCTTATAAGATATTGGCTCTTTTTATTAGATCTAATCCAGTTAGTGATATCCAAATTTTTAATACCTAAATTAGCTGATATGATTTCCCTTCACACCCACATGGAAAGGAAAAGTGGTTCGAGAGCTAAATCTAGTGTGGTGACCTACATGAAGGCTTTGTAATCATCTGTTCACACACAAACCATCAAAATATGAAGACATATGCTGATAAAGGTTTTTTTTAATCAACATATGCTAAGAAAGTTCAAGAGCTATTTTGTAATTTCCCTTTTCTCTTGTCACATGTCATGTATGTAAAAGCCCTGACTCATTAAGGTTTCATGATCCCTTGTTCACACACTTTCTTCTCTACACGCCTCCTGACGTTTGTTTTATTTAATTTTAGTGTACATAAAGAACCAAAATTGATTCTTTTTCTTTATTGGAGATGAAAATATGCAATCCAACTTTAGTTGATCTCTCAGATGAGATATATAGCTTGTGAATAAAGGCATAAGATGAATCACACAATAAGATGGTGGTACATTCTTCTTAAAAAGACAGAGAGAGAGAGAGATATATACTTTATTCAATCATCACACGATAAGATGAATTCATTATACTGCTGAGACTGAGATCCAAGACAGATATTTGATGATGGTCTACTGAGAAAGGAAAAGGAAGATTGCTGAAGAAAAAACACCTGTGGGGAGAATTTCTAAGAAAGATAAATCATTTGACTTTCCAAATTCAGCCAACAAAAGCATCAAAGGAATATCTATAAGTATGAATAACAGTGATGGCCGTTAGAGACAACCATGACAACTAAAGCATAAAATGATGGTTGAGTACTCTTCATGCAGGAGATAGATGGCACGCAATGATTTAGCAATACACCTTTCATCAAAACCTCCATATCTTGCACCAATTGAAATATCTTCCTAAAGATTCTTAGTACAAACAGATACGTATGGAAGCATGCAAGTATATGATAGATTATTCAGAAAATATGCTTGCAGGCATGTATGTGTTAGTATTATGTGAGACGCAGATCATTGCTTTGCGCTTTCTTTTTCTTCTTCCTCTATAATTTTTCTTCAATGTGTTCATAACTGGATTAGCTGATGTGAACCAATCTTGTATAAATACATAGTATAAAATATTTTTATTTGTCTTCCTTCAAAAAATTAGTCTTGAAAAGAAAGTTGATAATTATAGCTAGTTATCCCTTAGAGTTTGTCTAAAATTTAATGCTTTTCTCCAAGACTACTCGCAAGTGATCATTCCACATTTATTTCATTATTGAAACTTGATGAAACAAAATAAAAGTACAAACTTTTTGCATCAAAGAATGAAAGAAGTGGAAGATGCCGATATGCAACTAAAGATTTATTTAACTTGATAATCCAGAGTAAGAAAACAACTAGCTATATAAGACATGCACTTACTGCTAAAGTAATAGAAATTAAGTATGGAGAAAAATACAACATTAATGCAGCACTTACCTTCTCTTTGGAGATGTGAAATTGATGAGATTGTGAAGGAGTGAGGAAAAAACATAGTTCTCAATCATAAAGCCCAGAACAAAGTTCATTTTGGGCTGCCTTTTGTACTACTTCTGAAGTTGTTTAAAGAAACCATTTCCCCACCAGAATGACTACAAATAACGGTAAAAGCATGAAATGGAAAAAAGGTAGGCAAAATTTAAATGATAAGGAAAATATTGCTGAAACTCCATAGTCTATACAATGAAACTAGTTTAAAAGAGAAGTACCTACTGCTACATGAGTCATTTAGAGTTCTGCAACAAGAGAAATAGCATTGGAGTTCTTTGAATAGAAACTTGCTCATAGCAGCAAGTTAAAAGGAAATCAAAGTCTGATTTGGATTTAAAAAAAGGGGATTAAATCATATAAATAATAGGTTTAAATATATTAGAGAGTATTCACTCTGTTTAAAATACAGAATAAATATTATTTCATCGTGTGAACTGAATGTATAACGGAAACTATATATTTGGATAAAATAATGCTTGAAAAAGGTACCCATAACAATTTCACAGGAATCGCATTTTGTTTCATCCAAAGTATAAATTTTAGCTATAGTTGATTCTCATAAGCATAGCATCCAAAAGCCTCCTAGAATGTATCTAAGCCGACTTTATGTTGTGGAATTATTTGATGTCTCTTTTCACTGTGGTATGAGTTCCATTTGTGATGGACTCCCCATTCTTTGATCTTCCCATTCTTCAAGTCACATGAGAAGACTCCACAGACTTCAAATGAGACCTTTGGAAAATAAGTGATGTCCTCATCATTTCTTCTTCTCTTTTTAATTACCGTTAAAATGCATTTATTGTAGTACTGATCATACCATAGAACAACATGATCTGAGTACAATTCTTTGATGGCGGAAGGACCTGATCTTTTAATTCTTTAAAAATCATCAAAGTAGCATAAGAATATCGAGTAACATGGTACAGAGGTGAACCAGGCATGAATAGAGAAAAAAGAAAAATCTAACAAATCATCAACAACCGAAGAAAGTTAAATAGTGATAGAAGCCTCTGTTGATCGATTACATCCGAATCACTCTGGAACTTTGCTACTAGGTAGAAAAAAAATACTTTCCTTAAACTTGTTAAATGCTGCTCCCTTCAATAAGGGATAAGCATTGTCCATTACATTATAAAGTGAATGCTCGTTCAATATCAGAACTGTCTCCAGTAAGATACAATTATCTAGAAATAAATATGTCAGCGATGATGGAAGTGCTAGTATAGCCTCCCATAATGCCGCAAGGAAATCCTCCGAAGTGTTGGAAGTTTTTGCCCAAATGTAGCTGATAAAAAAATTATCTCCAATGACATGCAATCATCCAGAGATAAATGTTCAAGTGATGGTGTAAGTGTTGGCATGGATCGAAGCATCCCATAATTCCGCAAGGAAATCCTCTAAAGTAATAGAAGTTCTTGCTTAGATGTAGTTGAAAAGGAAATTGTCTCTAGTGACATGCAATCATCTAGAACTAAATATCTCAGTGATCGTGGAAGTGCTAGTATAGATCGAAGCTTCTTACAATTCTTCAAGGAAATCCCCTGAAGTAATGGAAGTTCTTGCCCAGATGTTGTTAGAAAGGAAATTGTCTCCAGTGACATGCAATCATTCAGAGATAAATGTTTAAGTAATGGTGGAAGTGCTGGTATGGATCGAAGCCTCCCACAATTCTTCAAGAAAATCACCCCAAGTAATAGAAGTTCTTGCCCAAATGTAGTTGGAAAGGAAATTGTCTCCAGTGACATGCAATCATCCAGATCTAAATCTCTCAATAATGGTGGAAGTGCTGGTATGGATCGAAGCCTCCCACAATTCCGCAAGGAAATATTCCAAAGTAATAGAAGTTCTTGCCCAGATGTAGTTGAAAAGGAAATTGTCTCTAGTGACATGCAATTATACAGAACTAAATATCTCAGTGATGGTGGAAGTACTGGTATAAATCGAAGCCTCCCACAATTCTACAAGGAAATCACCCCAAGTAATAGAAGCTCTTGCCCAGATGTAGTTAGAAAGG